GGCCGGGACATATGTATACCCCTATATCCTGTATCCCTAGCTTCCGCTAAGCAATTTCGATTGGATTGAAGTGCGGCATGCGGGCAACAACAGGTGGCCCTTCTGGAGGACACACCTTGGAGTGGGCTGCATACTTTGCCGGCTTCCGCTCGTATGTTTCGCATATTTGCCTTCGTCCTTCCTCAGCTCCTTCCTGCTGCTGCTGCTGCTGCTGCTCCTGCTGCTGCTGCTATCCTTTCTGCCTCGTTTTATTAAATTCGTGCCTGTCTGCTGGGGGCCAAGTCATGGTCTTGGCCAGGAACTTATTCCCGCCAGTGGGAGCGGCTTGGATACGCTTCAACCTTGGCCCCGCTGCAGGCACAATTAATTTTTCATGTAGTCTCGAGGAAAAACACTGACAGAGGAGGAGGGGAGAGAGAGAAAGGGGGCTAGAGATATATAGCCCGGTCAAATGCAATATTAATTGGTTTGGACTGGAAACAATTCTGTTTAAATGTAGCTCTTGCATCTTGGTTAGTAAAAAGCATATTAAATTTCAAAGAAGCAATTAAATTTTATTCGAATACTAACGACTTTATAAAGTGCGAGAAAGTACTCAGGAAATCGCATGTTGTGGCTAAAAATATTTAAACTATAAATGCATTTCCCATATAAGCTGGTCTTGTTAAAACCTGGAACGTTTTAAGCCATTTTAATTCCGTTTGCATTTCGGTTTATTTATTTCCATTTTATTTTACCTTTAGGATTCCGTTTTATTACTTTTTAAATCCATGCATTTTCACTTGGGCAAAACAACAATTAACGTTATCTGCTTGACATGCGTGTATTTGGTATAAATATCCTGGATTTCCTCTAAAGGGAATTTTTATTTCAGAGAGACCTTTGTGCAACGCAAACTCTGTTTAATTACATTTTTATAAATGTACTTTTTTATGCTGTTTAATATGATTACAAACTGTCGATGCAATTGAAACTCTGCGATATCTGAAGGACATGGTTTTTATATTTTTATAAAAAGGATTCGAACTTCGTATCAAATTACATTTGGTTTAGGGATGGCAAAGGATACTTCGTCTATATTTGAGGCAAAGTTTACATATCGAACGATGTAATGAATAATAATTAATTATTATATAATATTATTTAAATGAAAAATTAAAAGTTCTATATATTTATCCAAATTTCAGATTCCACATATTTTTTTTATAATATATCAACCTTTTACTTTTGATAGCATCCCTAATTTGTCAGAGAAAGACTGCTAAATTTGCTGTCATTTTCATTAAGTTTCGTGATTTTTTTTTAATAACTTCCCCACTTTGTTGACACAATTTTTTGCAGTGCCTCAACTGTCATATATATTGCTACAATGCGACAAGTTCTCTGCATCTCTCACTCGAATGTTTGTTGTGTTTCTTTGCTCATTTGCAGGCGAGTCGCGTTCTGTGCCGCCTGCCATCGCCATGGAAAATAAATTTGTCAACTTGCAGTTGCCGGTCTTGCTGGCTTTGCCTTTGCATTTGCGATTCGCAATTCGCAATTCGCTTGTTTTCCCCAACGCTCGGGAAAACCACGAAAAGAAAAAGAGCAACGTGAGCTCCATCTGCTCGGCAGTTTGTTAGCTTTTTTGCCATCAGCGGCGGCTATAACACATTTCATTTTATTGTCACGTACCCAGAGTCTCTCTATATATGGCCGCTCTTCCCCTTCCCCAGTCGATTTCTATTGACTGGCCGCCATATATAGATATAGTTTACAGTTGTCTCGTCGAAGGTTGTTAACTATCGTTGGGTGTGGCCACGGCTGAATTTAAATTGCGCTTTATTTAAGCCAGAAAGTCTTCGCAGTCTGAAAACCATGGTTGCAGCATTACATCACTTAATTAAGACAGGGAAATATTAATTAACACAACGAGCAACCGTATTAAATACCAATTACTTTATTGCAAGAGCAGCACATCTGTTCTCTGTTTGATTAAATCTTTCATAAAGTGGTAAACTATTAGCTTACACGGCCAAGTGTCAATTTGTGTGCCTATTAAGTTAATTACCTGGTAACTTTATGTTTTACCAAGGCAAAAGTTGTGTAAACTATGGACTCTCATTACAAATGGAGCAGCTTTAAGGGGAATCTGATCTTCATTGCTTACTTGTAATTATAATTTAAAGTATGCTAAGCCAAAAACAATGAAAGAAGTCATCAAGCTAGAGTCAATAAACTAATTAATTATGATTCACATAATTCCCAAGAAAAGAAAGGGTTTACTTACTAAATTTTAAGTCAACTACTAATTAATCATCAGATACATATATAGTAGCTAAAAAAAACCCTAGCACTCCCTTCATATAAATACAATGAAATTTAACTTACTCAAGTTAAAAACTAAAGAAATTCTGCATTTAAAATGTAAATGCAATGAAGAAAAAGTGTGACTACTGCAAAAAGAACTAAAACAATTTCAGCCATCTCTTCGCTGCTTTTAACTACCATTTTCTTTTGCATTTTGAATGGTGTTGAGTAAAAAACTTTGTCATTTAATTCCAGAATTCATTTAATAAAAAAATTCCGTCCGCGAAACTCTCCCAAGGAAAAAACGACAAGAAAGCTGCGAAAACATTTGCTCTTTGTTATCAACAATTGGAAAACACCTGAAAAAAGTTAACTCCTGCTTAAACTTTGGGTTCGGCATGAAGCCAATTAAAATTCTATGGAATGAATTAGAGTGCAGGCTGCATTCACATTCGCGTCACGCTAATTCACTTTGCAGTTTCATCTTTTAGTTACTTTATACCTTCTCCGGCAGTCGTGGAAAATAGTTTTTCCAGCAGTCCTCCAGGTTTTTGCTCCTCTATTTTATTTTTTGTGCTGGGTGGCAGACACGGAGGATTACATGGAGCCCGGACAGAAGTCAGGTGCAGGCGATGCCGGAAATATATGTATTTAGTATGGGGGGGGGATAGAAAACGAACAGACTTATTGCATTACTTACGCTAAATAACCACTTACAAAGTGGCATTAGGCGACGGAGATGAGCACGAAGGAATGATCCTGCCGAGGTAATGACGGTGATGGTGATGAAGCTCATGCTGGGTAACTTCTCATTAAGGAAATGCCATAAACACACTCAAGGGTTGTGTTGAGAGTGCAGAGAAAAAAAGTGGTATAGAAATATGCAAGTTAAAGTTGTAGATTTCCCACATAGTTGAGTTGGTTTAATAAAAATTATCAAGACAAGAATTTAACTTATGGTAAAACTATAGAAAACATAGAAAATTATCAAACTTGTCCAGTTAGGTTTACAATGTGATGTTTCTGCTATTTTGTAATTATGAAAATGCTAACCAATAAGGTTGCCGGCGCGCCCGCTTTAGGGCTGAATTAACAGACACTAAGGACACAAAGGGGTAAACAGTACTCCCCGTATGCCTTAATAAATAATAGGAAAAAAAAAAAAAAAAAGGTTTACAAATTCTTATGGTTAGGAACTAAAAAGAAAATAAGTCAAACAAAACAAAGCTTATGTGAAAATGCCATCATAGAGCGGGGAAAATCAAGGCACCGTACTCGAAATATGCATTCCAGTACATGAATGTATCTGTATCTGTGCATGCAAATTCTCCTGTGTGTATGTGTATCTGTGTGTGCGGTTAAGCAGGAATACCAAACACACATACGTAAAGGGAAAGCCCGGAAAAATGCTGTCTGTCTGCGCTTCTTCCCTTTTGATTGAGTTTCCAGTGCATGAAATTTGCATTGAGGGAATTGTTTTCCTCATCCATTTTTGTGTATTTAAAATTTAAGAATATTTTCAGTTTGCTGTTCAATAACGAGGCTCGGCTTGAAGAGCTTTCAAGTGGAATGTTTGAAACGAGAGCTGCAATTAAGAGCCACCTACTAGATACTTGAGAATGTAGTTACTGCCATAAATGAATTATTTACACAAATGGGCTGAAAACTAGTGCTTTGTTGGCCAATTGTTAAGATTGTGGGGGCCATCAATTACCCAGGCAAGCAATGGTTATTTAAATATTTTTAGATTGTACATGTAAATGTATTTAGTTCTTTGTAAAATCATTGAAAAAGCTCAAGAGATTGTAAAGGCTTCAAGGGAATTTATGTTGAGAGTTGTTTCTAACAAAGAATTATTTGGAGATACTTATTGAATTGTTATAAAAATTTAATGGTCACTAAAAATTGAAAAATACAAGATTTCATAAGCATCTCTTCCTGGCTTGTAGTTTTACATTTTTAGCTTCTAGATAAATACTCTAATGTTCATCCGCCCTGAAAGTATCTGCAAGCTGTATCCGTGTGCCTGCTAAGCGGTTTAACTTTCCGTTTGAACTATGGGCAAATTCTCTGCTCAAACTATTTTTCAAGTATTTTCCGCCTTCCTTTAAGGATTTGCATTCGACTGCACTGAGAATCTGCTGGGCTGTGCTGTGTTGTGCTGAGGCTGAGCCTGAGACGGGCTCTGAAATCTAATATGGCAGAAAACCCAATTAAAACGCTGCCCAAGACAAGGAACCAGAAACAAGGCAGCAACAATGGGCGGGAATGGCGGCAGGAGCCTCCAATAATTCCAGGGCTGTGGCCCCAGACAAGTTTAATCTCTTTGCCCGATGCAGGCAGCTGTGCCCGGAGCTCAGTCGACCCGACCCGGACTTGAATTTGTATTTGGTTTGGGGCACACTCCCGGGGCTATGCAATATATTTCCGAGAGCAGGGGCAAAGCGGAAATAAATAATCACACTGAGAAAAGGCCCTAGGGCTTAAGTAACTAGCTTTAAATACCTTTAAATATACTTACAATACCTAAAATGTGTTATTTTATGTAAATGAAATAGTTTAGCATACTTTTACACTGTTTATTAGGAGATTTACAATCTCTAAAGAGGTAATTCATTTAATTTAAATAAATATAGATATAATTCTCTCCCTATTTTCTCTTTGTGCACTCATAAATATGTCTCATGTTTGCCTTTCCCATTTCTTTGCAGAGAGTGTCACTAATTGAATGCTTATTGCTGGCTGGTAAGTTTATTGAGCTGGTGCTCAATCGAGGGGAAGCCATTTTAAAAAGGGGGAAAACGGAGACCCAGAGGGATCCAGAGTTAACATTTGGGTTACTGGTTCAAGCTGGTTGACAAATACTTGGTCAAGTGCTTGGTAAATGCCGCACTCCTTTTGCGGGAAAGCTTTTAGCGAAAGTGGATGGCGTTATGGAAATGCCAGCTTGAACCTTGATCAATATCAGCAGCGCAGTTGCCCAACCCAATTTCTTTTCTCTCGGTTTCTCGGTCTCTCTATTACTTTGGGCCATAAAGTGCTGGGAGAAGGACTAATCGCTGGTCAGCCATAAAAGGGCGAGAGGATAAAGTTGTGGGGTCCTATAAAAAGGAAAAGGGTAGCTTTCACGACGGGCAGTACTATCACACACATGTGGTTTTTGTAGCCACCGCGGTTGCAGTTCCGTGTGACATCTTAAGTGCATCCTGGCTGCATAAAGGTCGCAGCCACAGCATATCCGGATCCGGCTGATGTTAAGCTGCCGCTTACCGGACCCGAACCCTTACCCGGACTGGTACTTTTACTACGGCAATTTGCCGGAGACAAAGCCATCGGAAATCTTGCCCGTTGTGCCCGGGTTGTGTTCCTTTGTCGCGGGAGTTTACAATGTACGAGTGTACATGCCACACGGCCAAGTATTCATAAAGATTTGATGGAGCCAAGGAAGCCGGGGATTAGTTGTAACTGTTCGGTGGTAGAAGCGCGTCAAATGGTTTTAAATAATTTAAGGAACAGCGTGGCAAGTTCTTATGCAGGGTTAGTGCCACACATAAAGGAGTCTTCACTTTGTTTAATTTTCTTCTCAAGTGAGCAAGATATTTTAAAAAGTATAAAAATAAACTCTCCAAACTAGATTCATCGCTGTTTTTATTTAGTAAGCCCTAAATCAATCTTAGCTTCATTTTAAGCTCATTTGATTTGTTGTGCGTTTTCAATAAATTCCAATTAAAATGGAAAAAATTCCTTGAAGTATAAACTCAACATCATTCAATTGCTTCATCATTCGAGGAGTTTTTCCATCTTGATCTCTCTTCGTTTTGTTTTCTGTACAAAGCCACCTCCCTTTCCCCATTTTCCATTTTCCTGTTGCCTCAAATAGTATGACAAAAGTAGCTTAACTTGTTTTTCCTTTTATTATTTTCCTCTTTTTTCCTACATTTTCCTACCATTTTTTTTATTTCCGAAGAAGATTTATCGATGACCGTGCCAACTCATACATAAACTGTTCATGGGAGCACGTCCCTTTGCCATAAAAATTCGAATATGAGCGAAATATTTTGGCATGAATAAAAAACTAGGAAACTACAAATTCCTGGGGAGGCACTGGCTTGCTTACGACTTTCCAGTTGATTTGAGGCCATCTTGGGGGCCACATATCCAGAGTCTGGCATGCTGGGAAAATATGTTGTGCTATTAAGGTATATGTATGTTTGTTGCACATTTAAGCAGACTTTCCATTTAAATAATCTATATAAGCCTTGAATTTAAGCCTCTTTAAGCAAATCAAAGCTACTTGAGGGACTTAAAACCCCTCCTTCTCGAAACTCCTTAATGAACCCATTAGGCTTTCAATTAAGTAAAGTTTTCGCAACGTGTGGGTCCGCTTATTGTTACAAAACATTAAACGATTTCTCGCCGAATAACTCCATGCGGTTGCCGCACGCAAATCGACCGCAATGGAATAATCCCCCGGCGTAGAATTCCTGGAATTTCCCCTGTGTGTTAATTGGCTTCAAAAGTGGGCGTGGCCAGGTGGCCATCGAAATTGAAATTGAAATTGAGACCAAAGCGAACCGAGAACCGAAACCGGCGCTGATTATCTGCTCGACCGCTGCCCGAACACGTTCAACTGGCGTGAGTTGGGCCAATAAAAACTTATTAAGCGATGCTGAGGACGCAGGACTCGAAAGTTGCCATAAAACCCGGAGAGAAGGCGACGAGGGGAGGGGGACGGTCGAGGGCTAAAGGATAAATGGAGAAACATTTGGCAGAAATGTGTCGTCGTTGCTTTGGGGCAGGACCGTAATAAAAACGGGGAATAAAACGGAATAAAAAAATGTATAAAAAATGCGCATACGCCGCATTGGCTTCGTCTGCGTCTGCCTTATAATAGACATTAATAATATATCGCTGCTTCAGCATCCACTTCCGCTCCAGACTCCATCTCATCCGATTCCAGTGGCAAGTGCGATAAACCGTTTAGCAACATCCGGGGACAGCCACCACGGAGTATAAAAGGGAGAACAGGACAAGGAGCAGGACTTGGTCAAACACTTTGCAAAGGAAATTGCTTGTATCTCTATCTGTATCGGGCTAAATTTACATACTAATTCGATTCATTACTCGCCCCTGGGCTCTGGGCTCTTAATTGAGGTAATCAATGCATCTGTAAGCTGATTTGGTTCGAGTGGTCGCTCTTCTTTGGCCCCAATCAGCTTACGTTTCCATGCAGCAGCCGCTGCTCCTTGGAGTTTGCTTTTCATTTTCAATTCAACTGCAGCTGGCTCCTCCATCGAATTCAATAACGGGAAATATAAGAAATGTACGCAAATATTTCGCAATAAGATATTTGCTCTCATATATGCACACACAACAACAATGGCATCAGCAAGTATTGGCAAAACTTTGGCGACTCCACTTCCGTTTCAGTCAACATTTTGCAGTGCCATCTGCGGAAAGTTTACTGCGATAAATGAAAATAGGAAGCCCAGAACGAGCAGCTACAACAAGATGTTGAAATAAGTTGTCAAGCCAACGCATCCGGCTGTTTTTCACCGAGCTCCCCCACTCCCGATGTACGTATGTATGTACTTTTTGTTTGCCATGTTGGGCGTGTATAGTTTTCCACTTGTCTGACTGCGGCGGCTGTCGGCGATAAGCGCGCAGAGCATTGATAAACAGTCCTGCTGCCTCCTAGGAACCACAACTTCCAGCTCCCTCCCAGCTCCATTTCTCCTCCTTCTCTCCTGCTAAGGCACGGATGAAGTGGATGTCAGTCGGCGACAATAGCGATGCGGCGCTCACAATCGGTTGGCTTGACAAAACGACTGCCCCTTGGAAAGCTTACAGGGAAAAATAATACTCTAGGGGGTAAAGTAAAGCCCAAAAGATGATTGTCACTTATATATTTTAAATATATATTTAAAAATAATACTAAAAATCTTGAAGTGCCATGGAAATCTCTTTGAAGTTGAAATCAATTGAAATGACACAAAATGTTAGATCAAATTTAAGAAATATTTTGTATTGGGTATTTTAGGAAAAATTGATTTTTTTTTTATTAAAAACCTGAATTTTATATTATGTTTAATCCTTTTAAAATAGGGTTATCCTAGCCACCGCAACAATTCTGTATTAGATCCTCATAAATCCTTTTTTTCCTCTGTATGTCAATCACTCAAACGTTAAGGTTGAGGTCGCCTTTCTTGATTTTCTGGGACTGTGCAGGATACACGATGTGGGGGGAGGAAAAAAGGCAGAGAAACTGGGGGGAAAATATGGGAAATATATATGAGAGAACTGAGGAGGGGGCTGAGGGAGGCGACTGTCAGTGGGACACTTTGCTGTCAATGGCAGTTGAGTTACGACAAAGCGAGAAATTGCATGGCAGCCTCGCTTCCTTGAGCTCCCATCGCTTGTGGAATTTTTCACGCGTCACCTGTGGCAGATAGTGGTGCCCATACCCGCTTATGCCTCTCCTTCTCCTGCTAAGCAGGATGTCTTTGACTCTGCAATTGTGGAGGGTCCTGGGCCTATGGAGCGAGAGTTGAATGAACTCTCCCGTAATCGATGTTCTCAGTGCGTCTGTGGGACAGGCCTGGCCCTTGTGCCTGCCATTGTTCACAAGCATATATCCTGGCACCGATGGTGTCTGCCAGGATAAGCCCGAAATGGCAGGAGAATAGGCCCGTTCACTTGACGTTCATTTGATAACATTTTATTAGCATCAGACGGCGGCTATCTCACGGCTGCACTTCGCATTTCACATTGCTCCAGACAGATAGCTACAATGAATGTCAGTCACAATAAACACAAACAGTTGCCATGTCCACGGGAGAGGGATGGGTGAATGGATGCTGAACAGGATGAGGATATATCGGAGAGCGATTCTGTCAGGTGCAAAACTCCGTACGTGGCTGCGGCTAGTCACGTCTGCCACTCGTATTTATGGATGGCACTCCACAGTGTATAACTACATTATGAGTGCCAGGGGGATTCACTGGGCTCGAGTCCTGCCCACAGGATAATACGCAGCAATGGCTCTCATTTGGATTACTCCACCCTGCTGGTTGATATGGCAATTGAATTTGCTTTTCTGTGTAGTTGCCTTTGGCTGGTAGAAATCCACACTGAATAGTTGAACCGAATAAAGGTAGTATTTTCTGAAATTCAAATAATACGAGATGAGAAACACATTCTTTGGCATATTTATTTTCTGATATTACAAAGGAGACATACGTATATTTTCTGGGGTATATGAATAAAGTTTTATGAAAATATCAGACAAAGCTGGGAAGCACTTGTGCAAAATAAACATTAAAAATAACACAACACAGCTTGCTAAAATCTGAATAAGCAATTTTGTGAAGTTACAAGCAGAGCCTGGAAAGATATCAAACTAAAAGACAATTTGAGATTGAATAAAAGCAATTTTCTTTTAAAATATGAGTACTTTTCAAAACGAAAAATGCACAAAAGAATGTTTAATTTAGTGTAAAAGTAAGATGAAATCCAAAGACAAAATAACTTTTAGTAAATTTGACACCAAGTCTAGTCAAAAATTAAGATGAAATTGCATTTTCTCCACCAGTTTCCTTTGTGGCTGCACATTTTTATTGAGTCTTTCATCAGAATAAGTCTCTAGCCGGGGTCAAATTATTTATGTGTTGGCTTTCAAGCTGACAAAACCATTGTCGCTTGCTCTGCGAATGACATGGAACAATTGCGGTATAGTCGGTATATTG